ACAACAGGTGCGGCAGTGAGGAGTGAGAGGAGGCAGCGAGGCAACAGTTGCTAGAGTTGAGTCACCCACCACCCACACCCCCTGAACCTCCCCACCACTTCACACTCCCCCCACAGCAGCAGGTGCAGCCGTGAGAGAGGAGGAGGCGTGGCGGCAGCTGCGGCTGCTGAAACACATCCGCCACCCCCTCACACTCCCTCTGCCCCACTGCTGCACCCGCAGCAGGGGGATGGAGGAGAAGGAGGGGGGGGGGGGGCGGGGGGGGGGCTGGTGCTGCAGATCCCTTCCTGCCACCCCCTTAACCTCCAAGCTCCCCCGTACCCTTCCCCCCACACCCGTCGTGCGCCACACCCGCCACCCCCATACCCTCCCCCCCACTGCTGCACGCGCAGCAGGGGGATGGAGGAGAAGGGGGGGGGGTGGGGGGTGGGGGGGGGGGGGCTGCTGGCTTGGTGACGAAGCAGAGCAGCGGGGCGCTAGAGGTGCAACCTCCCCCCAACACCACTCTTGCGTCCCCCCAACACCCTCCCCCCCCCTTCCCCCCGCCCAAACTGCTGCACGCAAAGTAGGAGAGGGAGAAGGAAGTGGGCGGCGGGGACGACGGGAAGCAGGGCAGCGGGGCCCCCGTGCGACAGGCAGAAAACCATCGCACGCTGGGGGCGAGCGACGGGCAGAAACCGCCACACGCCCGGGGCGTGCGACGGGCAGAAAATCGACGCACGCCCGGGGCGTGCGACGGGCAGAAACCGCCACACGCCCGTGGCGTGCGACGGGGAGAAACCGACGCACGCCCGGGGCGTGCGACGGGCAGAAACCGACGCACGCCCGGGGCGTGCGACGGGCAGAAACCGACGCACGCCCGGGGCGTGCGACGGGCAGGAACCGCCACACGCTCGGGGCGCGTGAAGGGCAGGGGTGCTGCATGACGGGCAGCGCGACTGGTGGGCCCATAATAGTAGGTCCTAAGATCAGAACCACTCTGATAACATGTCAAAATAGTAACATAAGTAGGAGTTGGGTTTAAGTTAGGGCCTAGGCTTAGTAGCCTAGGCCATGGTGGTATCGAGGAGGTTGTGCCAAGGGGAGTCGAGAAAGAAAGGTGTTTCACTAAAGGGGCAAAGGCCCAAGTTGTACAAGAGAGAAGTAAGGAGGGGGTGCATCACAAGCAGGACAGCAATATAACTATACTACAGCTAGAACTATATGCAGTTATACGGAAATATATTATGACAAAAGAATGCAAATTACATGCCCTGCACAAGAAAAAGCCAAAAGCAGAGAAGGTAAAGAAGGCACTAAAACATACCGTATCACCTCGGATATAACCGCAGGCCTATTAAAAGCGCATGCGCTTATATATGGAGCAATGCGCTTATGGCCGATCCTCAATTAGAAGCGCACCCCATATAAAATCGTTACTTATTATAAGCGCACCCTTGCAGTAAAAAAATAAATATATACTTGTTGAATATTTGTCATTGTTGTTAGAGCTAAAACAAGGCTAGCCTTCATTAGTTGTAATTTTGCACTAGCTAAAAGTTTCACGTACAATAGGGTGACTATTGTCCTAGCCTAAACACCATCATCTTGCATAGTCTAGCCTTAGGCCTCCTCTTCCTCCACGTCCGATTCAGGCTCCATGACGTTGTTGCCCCAGAACCCGTCTGCTTGGATGTCGTCGTCTACCTCTACCTCGTGGCTCAGCTGGCTTCTCCGGTGCGCCATCATCACCAGATGGTCTTCACTCCCGTCAAGGGCATTGCTGATGCCGCACGTGAGGAAGGCTTTCTTAATCAGGTCGGCGGGCACGACCTTCCATGCCCGTGAAATCCACTTGAGCACCACTGCCGGGGGTGGTTTCTCGATGTTCCCTGCATCACATGAAAGGGAGTGGGGAACACATTAGTCCACAAGCAGGCAGACAAGCATACGAAGGGGAGACAGGAGGACATGTCGTCGCTCACCTGCAGGTGTCAGAATGTCCATGCCGTCCGCCTCAAACCAGGACTAGTACTATTGGCGAACACTCGCTTTGAAGCTCTTGTTCACCAACATATCGAGTGGCTGCACGTCTGCCATGCATTCCACCAGAATGACCACCGACACGATGTTGAGCGCCGCGAATCTCGCCTTCACTTCCTTGGTAAGGTGACCACGGTAGGAATCGAGTACTAGCATGGCGCTCCGGCTCTGCACGCCGAATTTCGGTTTCAGGAACGGCACCACGCCCTCATCGAGCCACTGGATGACGCCCGTGGCCTCCATCCACCCGTTCGCTTGGCAGCCGGCCACGACATCTGCACACAAGCAAGCGGTGGTTAATCCCTTTTTTGTTTTGAACGTCCAAAACACGCACAAGAACATGTGCTTACCGTTCAGGAAGTCACCCTTTGGCAGTGTCTTGCACTTGAAAAACACCCACGGCTTCAACTTCTCGCCCGTCGCCGTGCACGCCAGCAGCACGATGCCGCCAGCTCCAGCCGCACGAGCCACCTGAGTTTCTCCTGGGCAATGTAGGAGTGCCGTTTATGTTGAGACGGCTTATGCCTGGGAGAGGGGGGGCGGGCATCTCGGTTCTCGGAGGAGGGGTGGGGGCGTTTTTTGTTAATCGGCGGATACGTCGGTATCGGCATCTTCTCGCGTGGTGCGTCGCGCCACCAAGACCCCACACCGTCGTCGTCCTCGGCAGTTGCACCACGATCTGGGAACACGTCCTCCTCGGCGCCCACTTCACCGTCGCCTCCACCAACGCCGTCGCCGCTGTTTTGTTTATCGGCGACCGCGTCATCGTCGGTGCCCACAGCCGACTCATCCCACGTGCAGGCTTTAGGCTGTCCCCACCGTGGTGCAGGCGGCGGAGCCTGGATGAACACATCAGGGGCCTTGGGTGTGTCCGGTTCTGACAGCCACTCGTCGAAAGTGGCTGGTAAATACAGTTGGAGCACGGGCCGTTGGTGAGCACCGGTACCGATACCGATATCAGGTGGATTCGGAGGAGCGGGAGGAGCGGAAGGAGCGGGAGGAGCAGGAGGAACAGGAAGTGTAGGAGGAGCAGGAGGAGCAGGGGGTGCAGGGGGTTCAGGTGGCACTGGAGGCGCTGGTGGCTCACGGGTATACCACCCGTCGTCGGTAAGTCGTCACGGGCGAACTGGTTTTTTCTTGAAGAGGAAGTGCGTCCCGCTGAATTCTGCCATGGCTTCGCCAGCCAGGCGGCCTAGACTGGAATCTGAATGAAAAAAAATGAGAAAGAGGGTGCACAAATGGGCAACGAAGGGGACCTCGTAGGGTTGGCGCCTCGAGGTCCTTGTCAATGACGGGCGGGAAACCCCCGCCTACCCCCGTAGAGGACCCTGCGTGGCAGCATAAACGCTGTGCTAGCAGGGAATCTTCCCCACCCTTCGAGAGGGTTCGGAAGAAATGCACATGCCACGCAGCGCATGCGGCTGTGAATGGGCCGCACGGCAACATCCCCGTCACTACTGTCACGTTCGATGGTTCTAGACAAAACTGTGCGGTGGGAAACCGAACAGCTACTGTTTTTGCCTGAAAACCATGCACGATCCCATGTGTTGCATGGTCGGTTGAATTCGCCTTATTGCGGGCTTCAATTTTGTATGTTTTAAAGTGGATTTTATTCTTTTGCTATTACAGGTGCATGCGCTTATAAAAATGACTCAATTAGAAGCGCACCCCCTAAAAAACACTATTTTATTATAAGCGCACCTGCGCTTCTATCCGGGGTAATACGGTATAATGTAACTCATGTGCCCTGCGAGGAGGTCAAGCAAGAAACACAACTCATCTGTAGAAAGCAAAAGCAAAGAGTACACCTCACAGCATTGCACAAGGAAACAGAGAATGCAGCTCACACATGCACTAGAAATGAAATAAGAACAATAGAAAACGTATAATTCAATCAAAGACGAGCAATGGAACTTGGTATCAGTCGTGGCACCACAGATTCTCCGCCATAATGTTGCAATCCCTTGCAGCCACCCTTGTGTTCAGCTTCATCCTCACGTTCACACTCACTCTTTTACTCAATCTTGCACCCACTCACACACGCTCACAGAAACAAACATACAAATCTACACGCTCATTCTTGCACAAACTCTCGCACTCACCCTAGCACACACACTTGCACGCATTCTCGCTCTCACCGTTGCACGCATACCCACTCATCCTCGTGCTCTCTCACTCGCTCTCTCATGCGCTCTCTCACACACTCTCTCATGCACTAAGTCACGTGCACTCACTCGCACACTCTCTCTCTTGCTCTCACGTGCACTCTCACATCTCATGTGCACTCTCACGCGCACTCTCACTCGCTCTCTCACGCGCACTTTCACGCGCTCTTTCACGTTCTCTCTCATGCGCACTCTCACGCACTCTCTCACGCGCTCTCACGCGCACTCTCATGCGCACTCTCACGCGCTCTCTCATGCGCACTCTCACGCGCTCTCTCACGCGCTCTCACGCGCTCTCTCACGCGCACCCTCACGCGCACCCTCACACACTCTCTAACACGCACTCTCACGGGTCTCCCATGCGCACTCTCACACGCTCCCTTACATGCTCTCTCATGCGCTCTCTCACGTGCTCTCTAACGTGCTCTCTCACGCGCTCTCTCACGCACTCTCACACGCCCACTCACGCGCTCTCTCACGCACTCTCACGTTTTCTCTAATGCGCACTCTCACGCGGCTCCCATGCGCACTCTCACGTGCACTCTCACGCTCTCTCAAGCGCTCTCTCCCGCGCTCTCTCACGCGCTCTCTCACGCGCACTCGCACGCGCACTCTCATACGCACTCTTACCCTCTCACGCGCTCTCTCACGCGCTCTCTCACGCACTCTCTCACGCGCACTCTCACGCGCAATCTCATGCGCATTCTCACGTGCACTCTCACGCGCACTCTCCCGCGCACTCTCCTGCGGTCTCTCCCCCTCACGCGCTCTCGCACGCGTTCTTGCACACGCTCCCTCACACGCTCTCACGCGCTATCTCACTCGCACTCTCACGCGCACACCCACGCGCTCTCTCACGCGCACACTCACGCGCTCCCTCACGCGCCCTCTCACGCGCTCCCTCACACACTCCCTCACGCGCTCTCTAACGCCCTCTCTCACGTCCTTTATCACTCGTGCTCTCACACGCTCTCTCTTGCGCATTTGCTCCCGTGCACATGCTCTCCCTCTCGCTCCGTCTCTCCCCTTCTTCAAACGAAGAGAGCAAAAATAAAGAGGAAATTTCAGAGGGGGGAGTGAGGATGAAAGGACCGGGAACGCACCTGATAACCACGGTGCCTGAGGAAACAACCCGCGCTTGCGCACCAACCCGCGATTGCGCTCCGGGCACCTGTCGCCGGAGGAGCGGCGGGGAGGAGGGAGAGCGACGGCGGGGAGGAGGAAGAGGCGACAGCGGGGAGGAGGAAGAGGCGACGGCGGGGAGGAGGAAGAGGCAATGGCGCGGAGGAGGAAGAGGCGACGGCGGGGAGGAGGAAGAGGCGACGGCGGGGAGGAGGAAGAGGCGATGGCAGGGAGGAGGGAGAGGCAAAGGCGGGGAGGAGGGAGAGGCGACGGCGCGGAGGAGGAAGAGGCGACGGCGGGAAGGAGGGAGAGGCGATGGCGGGGAGGAGGGAGAGGCAACGGCGGGGAGGAGGGAGAGGCGACGGCGCGGAGGAGGAAGAGGCGATGGCGGGGAGGAGGAAGATGCGACGACGGGGAGGAGGGAGAGGCGACGACGGGGAGGAGGGAGAGGCGACGGCACGGAGGAGGAAGAGGCGACGGCGGGGAGGAGGGAGAGGCGATGGCGGGGAGGAGGGAGAGGCAACGACGGGGAGGAGGGAGAGGTGACGACGCGGAGGAGGAAGAGGCGACGGCGGGGAGGAGGAAGATGCGACGACGGGGAGGAGGGAGAGGCGACGGCGGGGAGGAGGGAGAGGCGATGGCGCGGAGGAGGAAGAGGCGACGGCGGGGAGGAGGAAGATGCGACGACGGGGAGGAGGGAGAGGCGACAGCAGGGAGGTAAGGGAGAGCCGACGGCGGGGAGGAGGAAGATGCGACGACGGGGAGGAGAGAGAGGTGACAGCAGGGAGGTAAGGGAGAGCCGACGGCGGGGAGGTAAGGGAGAGAAGATGGCGGGGTGGGACGGAGTGATTGTGAGGTGGGAGGAAGAGGCGATGGCGGAGTGGGAGGGAGAGGTGACGGGGGGGAGTCCGAGAGATACGGGGAATGGGAGGGAGAGTGACGGCTGGGTGGGTTGTACTGGCGACGGCGGGGTGTTAGGAGGGATAGCTAGAGAAGAACTTGGGGTGGGGAGGAAAAGAAGTGAGCTAAGCAGGTGCTTGTCGAGAGGAACCAAGAACAAGAACCAAGAAATGAAGATAGTCTAATTCGACTTTGACAGCTGTGAAAGGGACGGGTGTTTTGGGCTTGGTTGGGGTTGTCGTGGAGCTGGCGAGATATTTTCTGCCAGCGCAAAACGAGGCACATAAACTTTTAATATGTAGTTGGAAATATCAGCACTTGGCAATTTCTAGAAAGAAACACGCACACACTATATTTGGAAGCTAGTGTCACGTGAAAACACATGCGTGCCACGACATCAACTAGCTCACACATTATATACGGTACAGTAATTGCAAACATAGAACCAACTATAGTAACCTGATAGAACAATAGAATATGCTGTTGGAAACAGCAGTAGAAAGTTAGAAACGAGAAAGAGGGTTTTCACTAGCAGGCAGTTGAGTACATATAGCAAACCCTAGATTGGGCTGTACTCACTATTGAGTACCCCACTGCAGGCTAGACAAACATAACATTCTGACACACCCCCATAGCCAAAGTGGGGTGTAATCAGCACAACAAGCAAAGCAAAACAAGCTCAGGGTGGATCACAACGTCACCACACATTCTGAGCACAAGTACAAGAAGTAGCAGTTTATAGTTCACAAATATAAGCAAAGCTAGAGGCTATCACAGAGGGCAAGTGAGGAGGAGGAGGCTGGACTGATAGGAAAGGAGATAGGAGGCAACGGCTGAAGCTGCAGACACACGGGCTACAGGAGCGGCGCGCACAGTGGCTACCGGAGCAACGGCCCCGGACTACAGGGGTAACTGGGTCTGCGGCTAAGACGAGCGGCAGGAGCAACGGACCCACGGGCGACAGGCACAGCAGGCTCTCTGAGCTACCAGCAGCACAGGCCCCGGACTACAGGTGCTGCTTGCGACAAGACGGCTGCCTCCGCCCAACATCCCCAAACTGTCCCACCCCCCTTTCACACACCCCCTGCTGGACCTCTTACTCTGCTCACACTCCACCCCCTAGCACCACTCCGTCGGCTCCCACACACCCACCCCCCTCAGCGGCAGCTGCAGCAGTGGGAGACGGAGGAGGAGGAGCAGGGGAGGCCGCACACACCCGCCACCCCATACTCGCCACCCCCAAACCCTAACACAGGGCAGGGCCGTAGCTGGCGGGTAGGACATGGCCGGGAAAGGGCGGCTGCAGGGCAGGGCTGCGACGAAGGACGGAAGGGGGGGGGGGGCCAACGCGCGGCCCCCGGTCGCCTCAATGGGCGACGGGGGGGGGGGGGGGGGGACGCGCGGCCCCCCAGGGCGCCACGACGGGCGACGGGGGGGGGGGGGGGCGGGGCGATGCGCCCCCCCCTCGAGGGCACCACGTCGGGCGACGGAAGGGGGGGGGCTGCGCGGGCCCCCGATGGCGTCACGACGGGCGACGGGAGGGCCGCGCCCGAGCCCCCTCGGGGTGCCGCGATGGGCTACGGGATGGGGGGGGGGCCGACGCGCGGGCCCACAGGGCTCTGCGACGGGCGTCGGGCAGGGCAGCTCGCGGGCCCCCAGGGCGCCGCGTGAGAAGGCAAACCGCCGCGCGCCTCGGGGCGCACGGCGGGCAGAAAACCGCCACGCGCTCGGAGCGCGTGGCGGGAAGAAAAAACGTCGCGCGCCACGGGGCGCGCGACAGACAGGTCAGCAGCGGAAGCATTGGGTGGGCCCATCCACAGGATCGACCCGGGGGGGTCGACCTGCTCTGATTCCATGTTGGAAACAGCAGTAGAAAGTTAGAAACGAGAAAGAGGGTTTTCACTAGCAGGCAGTTGAGTACATATAGCAAACCCTAGATTGGGCTGTACTCACTATTGAGTACCCCACTGCAGGCTAGACAAACATAACATTCTGACATATGCTGCAGGTGAAAACACAAAAAGTTGTACCATATTAAAGCCCGAGTACAGCATGGTATTTTTCAAGTTCAAGATTCTTGAACTTGAAGTCGCCAAAAACATGGTTACCATCTTTGGTTTGAAAGAACTCTCGCGACCCAGGGAAAGCTTCTTGCGACGGTCACTCCTGATTGGTTTCTGTGCCCCGTCGCACAACAGATCCGAACTTCGCCCTCCAGGTTGCCGTGCTCACCTCTCACATAACTTGACGAGCAACTAGTACTCCTAACTAGATTAGGCACGTAACTAGGAAACGCAAGACCAGGGGAAAAAAAGCCAGTTCAGGAAGTGGCGTCTTTTTATAACCAACTCTAGTCACTAATGCAGTCTAGCCTATGGCAGAGCAGAGCGCCTTTGGAGCCAAACACGCCTATAACCGTACCAGCTTTGCAAAGACAGACACGGAACAACCGTTCTAGCGCATGACACGCAGATCAGAGGTAAATGGCATGAGTTGCCTCACATGCCCGGGATAGGATGTCGAGGGCGGGTTACCCTCGTGTCCTTCGCGTTCAAGGGTTGCGCGCGCATCTTCTCGTCGTCCACACTGGCGACGTTCACGATATCAACCACTCTGGTTGCTGTTGCCTTGGGCCATAACAGAAGGGTGCATGGTTGTGAAACCAGGCCCAAGGCAGCAGCAACTCTGGTTGCTGCTGCCTTGGGCCAAAACAGGTGGGTGCATGGTGGTGCAACCAGGCCCAAGGCAGCTGCATGACAATCTTTGTACCTGTATTATAGTCAACTAGCAGGTAAGCGGCGTCTCACCCGATCGATCCGGCGGGGCGTCTGCTGCCCAGCGATCCCCTTCAGTGCGCAGTCATCTCTAGAGTTGTGCGCGCGGAGTTCGTAGACCGGTCACCTGGAGCGTGAGCTGCGTGTCACCAGCAGCGCGCGCTGCTCGTTGCTCGGGCTCCACCTCTGATAGTCGCGAGGTCATGCGGGCTGCTCATCACTCGCTGCACGCGCTGCGTGTCGCCGGGTGCGGGCGCTGCTCGTCGCCCGGGCTCCATCGCTGATTGTCGCGGGGAACAGCGGGCTGCTCGTCCTTCGGTGCGAGCGCTGCGCGTCGCTTGGTCCGGTCGCTGCGCGTCGCCTGGTGCGGGCGCTGCGTGTCGCCAGGAACGAGAGCTGCTAGATGCTTGGAGCGGGTGCTGCTCGGTGCCCTGTGCGTGTGCTGGTGACTCGCGTCACACGCGCAACTATAGGTGTGACTCACGCGCAGTCCGAACCTTCGTCCGTTGAGATATAAGCTCCACGCCCGGTGGACGATTCGACGGTACAAGAAAGCGACCTCTATCTTCTAGATTTTTGTGACGCCTGCACTACACAAGGGTTTCTCGTTGTGACTAGGTCCTGCACGTGTAATCCATGTCAACAAAATGACATTTCCTCGTTTCTCCAATGCTTCCTCAACACCACTGATTCCCGTATGTTCATAACGGGCTTGCACGTTCCGACACACCCCTGTTCTGTGTTGTTGCCAGCCCCTGCGGTGGCCGTGAGGCTCGTATCGAATACATTTCATTTGTCTGCATCTCCTTACCGATATCAGTCTGAGTACCGTCATCATCCAGATATAAGACGGTGTCGAATTGAAGACATGTGGTGTCATTAAAACGGGTGTATCTTATAAATGGGTGTTCCTGATTATACGACACCTGCCGGTGTGTACGAGTTAAGCCAGTGTAGGGGTTAGGGGTAATCTTATGACGATGGGTATCTTCTAAACGGTTCTTTGTCCATTTATAAGAATTATAAGACACCCTAAACCACCCCAATTACAAGACAACCCAAGCATTTTTTCTAGTGTATACGATAAGACATATATGTCTTATATCCGGGCGATGACGGTAGGTGGCGTTGTTAGTAGCACGTGCGTCGATGTTTTTCTATTTCCCGTGAGCACTGTCGAGTTGAGTCAGTGGTGCCGAGGAGACTTCTACTACAGCCAAACATCCCATGTTCCTCGTAAGAGTGTGCTGAAACATCTGATTGGCTAGAGAGTCCCTTCATGCAACTCACTCCTTGCACAGGGTTGGTGGGTATCGCTGGTTCAATGTGAGCAAACTGTTGAGATAGGAAAACAGGAATGATGAATGACTAGCAACAAGCAGATACAAGTAGTAAACATTAACTTGGGTTGTACTCTATACTGAGCACCTCACTGTAGCCTAGCAGAACTAGGAACATACAAATATGTTTTGACACACCCCCCTAGGCAAAGTGAGGGATAGCCAACACAACAAACGGCCACAAGACCAGTCAGGCAAGAGAACAAAGTAATGCAAAGCACAAAGTGGATCTCAAGATCACCACTCATTTTGAGCACAAGCAAGCGGCCACAAGGCCAGTTCACATGCAGAGTGATAATAGCAAGGCAGTACACTGATCACAACCTAGCAAGAGGAAACATGCAGGTATAAATATAGAAATAAGTGTACAACAAGTGCAAGATCAAGAGACAAGCAGGTGAGGCAGAACGAGCAGAAGCCCAAGAGCAGTGCAAAAACGCTGATGATCACCAGACCCGAGGGCCTTGGTGAAGACATCAGCAGTGTTGGCCCGAGAGGCCATGTAAGAAAGGCGAAGCTGACCACGCTGCTGCAGCTCTCGAGCAAGAAAGTAGCGAAGAGCAATGTGCTTCGTTCTGTTCTCCACTCTCTGCTCGTGACACAAGGCAAGCATGGCCTTGTTGTTGACGTACATAACTGGAGGAGAACGAGGTCACTCCCCCAAGTCGGTCAGCATGTAGGTCAGCCAGCGTAGCTCCTGTGTAGCCATAGTCCCAGCGTAGATCTCGGCCTCACAGCCGGAACCAAGCACAAAAGAAGAACGAGTGGATCTCCACGAGACAGAACCAGAGCCAAGTCTCAAGGTGTAACCGTGTGACGAACGCTGAGTCGCCTGGTCGTCGACCCAAGAAGCGCCAGAGTGTCCTGTGAGTACCACTGAACCCTGTCCTCCAAGCACAAGCCCCATGCCCAATGTACTGCACAAGTAACGCAGTACCCCCTTCGCAGCATCCCAGTGGACCTTTCAGTGTCTACCGGGAGCCACGTAGCGAGCCAGGAGGCTAAGAGGGTACGCGAGGTCAGGTCGTGTGCACGTCATCAAGTACATGAGGCCACCCACAAGCTCTGGATACGGACCACTCGGCTCTAGGGACTCGTCCGAAGGTGGAGCTGAGAGAGAGTGGCCAGTAGTCAGAGGAGTGGACTGTGGCGAGGATTACTGGAAGCCGAAGCACTGAAGGACCTGGTGCACCATGTGTGACTAAGTCAGGGTGATGGTGCGCCGTGCTCCGTCCCGGGTGATCTGCAAATCAAGATAGCTACGCAGCTC